CAGCATTGCTTTGCCCTGTTCTGCTCTGTATATCCTCTGGGATATTTCCTGAAGTCACTATCAAAGATGACAAACCCCTACGTGTTCTTAGCCAGTCTACAGAAAGCCAAATCATTCTGTCCTTTTGCAGGAGTTTTGGACAGTGGGAAAATACGTTTTGCTTGATACTCTTTTCACCCAAGGAATTTTTTTTAAACTTAAAATGTTTCTTTCTATGTTATACAGTGGAAATAGTGTCAACCTTGAAGTCAGACACATCTGAGTTCGTATCATAGCCCTGCCACTTGCTATCAGGTGACCTTGGACAGTGTATACTCTTTATTCCTAGCCAACCTTTTGGCATCAAATCCCCTCTCTAGTTTTCTTCCTAGTGAATTGAGTCTATACATGAGTTAACAATTCCTGCTTGGACCCTGGCTGGTGTGGCTCAGTGGATTGAGCGCTAGTTCGATTCCCAGTCAGGACACATGCCTGGGTTGAGGGGCATGCAAGGGGCAGCCACACATGGCTGTTTTTCTCCATATCTTTCTCCCTGCCTTCCCCTCTCTAGAAAGAAATAAAATCTAAAAAAACAAAACAAAAACAAAAAAGAATTGCTGCTTGGATATTCAGCTGTGGAAGAGCCACTCCAGTGTCCAGAGGAAGGAAAGTGAGGGTTTATATTCTGTCAAATTTTAATGATTTCTTCATCTTTTTTTCATATGTTTCCAGCTATTTCTCTCCTCTTTTAGTCCTATGAAAAAGGTAGATAGAGGGATTTATTCTGTGGTGGAATTTGGGGAATGTGCTAGTCCCAAATTCTCTTTGGAAGTTCAGAGAAAGGACTTTGTAAACAATCAATAAATGAGTTAATATGTGCAAAGCACTTAGAACTGTAACTAACACATAATAGACATTGTAGAGGAAGGAATTCACTATTAAAAACAGTGCTGAGCCTTGGCTTGAACTTGGAAAATGTTTGTTTTGCCAAAACCACATTTTAGTCAGTCTTCTATGTCAGCAGCTGATACCACCGTTTACTTTCCCTTTACAGTGATTGCATGAGATGCAGATGAGTTAGTTTTGTGTGCTATTCCACTTGGTATTTGCTCCCATCCTTCCCTATAAGAAAGCCCCACACGCTATGAGTTTCACATTCATTTAGGATTAGATTTGTTTCTTCTCTCTTCAAAGGGTATATTGTTATGAATTTCTCAGAATATGCTCCAAATAAGTCTTTTCATGAATACTCAAGAAGTCAGTAGGAACTGAGTAGGATAGGCCGAGTTTCTTTCCTTGGGTTCGTCTTAACAGCTTTTTCATCACATAGTTTTCTCCTCATTAAAATAGGGCTGTCAAAAGTAAGTTCAGAGATCATGGGCCCATCTTCTCCTTTTTCTCATCTCCTAAGAGAAATTACGGAGATTTTTGCAGGTTTTCCTTCCCAAGCCCACTCATCTGTACTTGGTAGTCCTGTTTTCAAAGAACTAATAATATCCATTCATTTAATAAATACTTAACTACATTTTTATTACACACCAGCAAAGTTATAGGCACTGGGGATATACCTGTAAACGAAACAGAGGCCCTTATTTAATGGATTCTGTATTTTACTGGGAACGATCATTTACTCCATTATTTTTCTCAAAGGGAATAGCAGTAACAGATAGGTTAAAGCTTATCACTTAAAAGAGATATGAAGTGTGGCCTTTCGGGGGCCAACAGAACAGAGAGACAGATAAATGGAATCTTCCTACCACAGTAATTGCCAACATTTCCACATTAAAGCTTGGCTCCAAGGTTTACATCTGTAGGCCAGCTTTGGGGAAGATGTTGCAATCCATGTTGACTGTAGGGTTATCCGGGCCATGTTTTAATTTTAAAGAGGATACACATTATGAAGTGCCCCCTCTGTGTTTCTAGACTTTTTAAGCATTTTTCTCTGAGCACTGCTTACTGCCACATTGGCAGAACTGATCTCAAAAGGCTCCCCAACAATGTCTCAGTCTACTTGGAGGAGACGGGGCCTGTAAACTGCACCTTTCAAGATGGAATTAGCAGCTCTCATTACTAACCCTAGAAGTTAGTGAGCTCACCTTGGGGGTTGGATAGCTCCATGAGAAAGACCTGGCTATGTGGAAAGATGTATGTTAATGAGAAATGAATAATTTGTATCACTAGAGGAGGGAAATGAAACAATTTAATCTGGAACAGACCTTGAAGAGCCACCAGGTATCAAGTCCACAATTCCTGATTTGCATAGCATAAAACCACTTCACCCCTTATTGTCCCAATGTCAAACTTTCTCCCTCCTCTACTTCCTACCCTTCCTTCTTTCCCTCCTTCCTTCCTTCCCTCCTTCCTTCCTTCATTCCTTCCTTCCTTCCTTCCTTCCTTCCTTCCTTCCTTCCTTCCTTCCTTCCTTCCTCCCTCCCTCCCTCCCTCCCTCCTTTCTTTCTTTCGTCATTTTTATCATCACCTGAGGACATTTTTTCCATTGCTTTTAGAGAGAGAAACATCAATGTAAGAAAGAAACATTGATTGGTTGCCTCTCGTATGCACCCAGACCAGGGATAGAACCCACAACCTGGACATATGCCCTGACTGGGAATTGAACCCACAACCTTTTGGTTATGGAATGACACCCAACAAACTGAGCCACATTAGCCAGGAGTCTACCCTGTTTTTTCATCTCCTCTCTCCCTCCTTCTTACTCTAAGGAATCATGGGTTTAAATCCTCTTTAGGGTTGCTAATAGTTAGACTACTTACTGTTTATTGAGCACTTAATATATCCTAGACTAAGTTCTTTACATATATTTTCTCAATCAATCATCACAATGCTATGAGGTAGAAGGTATCATTATGCTCATTTTGCACCTAAGGTCTGGGAAATACAAAGTGAGCCTCAAGTTTGAGGTTCATAGAGCTTAATAACTACCTCACCCACGATTGAATAGCTAGTAAATGACAAAGCCTCAACACAACTGATTCTGACTCAAAGCTGACTCTTTTTAAGTATAGTTGGTATACAATCTTATATTGGTTAAGTTAGTTTCAGGTGTACAATATAGTGATTTCACATTTATATGCCTTACAATGTGATCACCCAACTGATTGTAGTAATCATTTGTCACCATGTAAACTTATCATAATATTAGTGACTATATTCCCTTTCCCCTTTTCACCCATCACTCCACATTCTGCCTTCTCGTAGTCATCCCTTTGGTCTGTTTCTGTAAGTCTTTTTGCTTTGCTTTGTTTTATTTTTTTAGATTCTACATATAATTGAAACTATGCAGTGGTTGTCTTTCTCTGCCTGACTTATTTAATGTAGCATAATACCTTCTAGATCCATCCATGTTGTCACAAATGGCAGTATTTCATTCTTTTTTATTGCTGCATAATATTCCATTGTAGATCTAACCACATCATTTCTATCCACTCATCTATTGATAAACACCTAAGTTTCTTCCATAGCTTGGCTATTGTAAGTAATGATGCAATGAACATAGCATATGTGTTTTCAAATTAGTGTTTTTGTTTTCTTTGGACAAAGGCCTACAAGTAGAATCACTAGGTTGTATAATAGTTCTATTTTAGTTTTGTGAGGAACCTCCATACTGCTTTCTACAGGAGCCGCAGCAGTTTGCAGTCCCACCAACAGTACGCAAGCGTTCCCTTTTCTCCACATCCGCACCTGTACTCGTTGTTTGTTGACTTTTTGATAATAACCATTCTGTCTGATGTGTGGTGATATCTTGCTGTGGTTTTGATTTGTATTTTCCTATTAGTATCTTTTTGTATGTTTGTTTGTTGACCATCTATATGCCTTCATAGGAGAAATGTCTTATGTCCTCTGCCCATTTTTGAACTGGATTGTTTACTTTTTTGTTATTGAGTTGTATGGATTTCTTACATATTTTTTTATATCAACCCTTTATCAGATATCATATTTGCATATATTATCCCATTCAGTAGGCTGTCTTTTTGTTTTGTTTAAGGTTTCCTTCACTGCGTGCAAGCCTTTTAGTTTAATGAACTCTTATTTTTTTTATTTTCGCATTTGTTTCCTTTGTTTGAGAGGATGTATCCCAAAAGATATTACTCAGACTGATGTCAAACAGTTTACTTCCTATGTTTTCTTCTTGGAGTTTTATGGGTTCAGGCCTTACATTTAAGTCTTTAATCCATTTTGTGTTTATTTTTTATATGTTATAAGAGAGTGGTCCAGTTTCATAGCTAACTCTTTAATCTTTGTTATACTCTCTTTTCCTAATTCGAGTTGGAAAAGGAATAAGTGAGAAAAGGCTCTATTATTTAACAGGCCTTGAGGGGTCTGGGAGCCAAAATCCATCCATTTGGTCTAAAAATTGTTATTGAACTGCTACCTTTAGCTGGGTGCCCTGTTTGGGCCCTGCCTTCTAGAGGTGTATGCAATAGGACTCTCCCCTGTTGGGAAACTTGTGATACTGGCAGAGAATTTGGACAAACTAATACTCAGGATACAATGTGATAACTACTCTGGGTGAAGATGTACATCAGATGCTATGGGAGCACATAGAAGGGGAAACATATTTCTGTCTTGGGAGTCAGAAAATGCTTCATAGAGTGGGTGAAGCATGAGTTGTGTCCTGAAGGTTAAAGAGAAGTGGACTAATTAAGACTAACCTCTGGTGGCAAAGAGAACCCTAAATTCAGTGGCCAGAGATGGGAGGTGACTTGACTAAAGTTTCCCAAGCAGTAAGTAGAAGGTCCAGTACTGCTGTTGGAGTTTATGTCTGTATTATTTCCTCCACACTGAGAAATGCCAGGTCCTGTGCCTCCAACTTGGAGGGATACTTCTAAACACTAGCTAGTAGCTAGAGGGATTAAGATAATCCCCCTAGTTCCCTGAGACATTTAAAAATTGCTGTGGCAGACTCTAGATGTAATCCTGGCAGGCATCAAGTAGTAGTTAGCATAAGGGAGACAAAAACTTGATCTTTCTCATTGTTTCCTGGGAATATTCCCCTTTTACAGATCTACTCAGGTCCACCTGAGGAGAGTGCTGCACCCCCAGTGCCTCCACCTCGAGTGACAGCAAGAAGGCACAAACCAATCACGATTTCAAAGCGTTTGCTGCGAGAAAGGACAATTTTCTATACTCCTCCCTTGGATGGAAGTGAAGGTCAGTACTAAAATTCACCTTAAGAAGATAGTGATTAGACACAAAGAGGGCAGAAGTAGAGGTTTAGCCATTTTTCTCCATGCAGAGATAGACTTTTTGTGTCTCCCAGGCCACAAAAAGCAAAGTTTTAAAAATCTGTGCCCAGAAAACAAATTAGCCCTTTGGCAACGGATAGGACAAGTATAAACCTGTAAAGTTAGTCACCATGACCCCTTAGGGGTCCAGTATCCAAAATGTTCTTAGATCTGTACCTCAGCACATTCAAATGGGTGAGCAATGTGCTTTCTGAATGTTCTAGATTTTAATTTCAAATACAGCTAACAGGAGGAATGATGTCAGCAAAAATGGCTGAATAGTACTTTCCAGAGCATATCCCCTCACAGTGACAACAATTTGAATAACCATCCGCACATCAAAATATCTTCATGAGAGCTATGGTAGCCACTGACAGATTATAGCACCTTGGTGGAGCACAAAAATAAGACAAGGTTCATTGCATATGGTAGGAAGAACATTTTTAATTTTTTAAATTTTTATTTTTTATTTTAGAGGGAATGGAAGGGAGGGAGAAAGAGAGAGAGAGAAGCATTGATGTGAGAGAGAAACATTGACTGCTTGCCTTCTGTATGCACCCCAACCTGGGATCGAACCCTCAACCCACGCATGTGCTTTGACCAGCAGACATTTTCACACTACCCATGTGAATCCTCCCCCAACTTCTGAGCACCTAATTATGTAAAGCAAATTTTTTAAAAGATTTTATTTATTTTTAGAGAAGGGAAGGGAGGGAGAAAGAGAGGGAGGGAAACATCAATGTGTGGTTGCCTCTTGTGTGCCCCCTACGGGGGACCTGGCCCACAATGCGGGCATGTGCCCTGACTGGGAATCAGACCAGCGATCCTTTAGTTCACAGGCTGGCCTTCAATCCACTGAGCCACACCAGCCAGGGCTTGTAAAGCAAATATTATAATAACAGAAATGAACGGAGAAATAAAATAATACTAGTGGACATCAGTGCCCCAGTTTCAACAATGCATAGATCATCCACACAGAAAATCAATAAAAAAACCCAGCTCACTTTAACAATATAAAACCCATTTAACCTGACATATATGTGAGGTCTGTCCAGAAAAAGTCCAGCCATTGTTAATATAACTAGAATGGTTTGCTTCACATCAATGTAACCTGGCAGCCAAGGAAAGTGCATGAGAATGTACATGTGTGAACAATGATGACTTCACTGTGCTAGTCAGTGGGGGTGGTAGACGCCATTGAGTGAGCATGTGTACTGTGTGGCCATCACATTCAAGATGACTGAGCGAGGAGAGCAATGAATCTGCGTCAAATTTTGCATTAAGCTTGAACATTCCTCTGTGGAAACTATTCAGATGATTCAGAAGCCACAGCTATGGGCAACTAAGTGGTGATTGGCAGCTTCATCACCACACCATGCCTGTTCATGCATTGCCTCTCGTGCAGAATTTTGGCAAAACATCAAATCACCCAGATGACTCAGCCCCACTACAGCCCAGATTTTGCACGCTGCAACTTCTGGCTTTGCCCAAAACTAGAATCACCTTTGAAAGGGAATAGATTTTAAACCATCGATGAGATTCAGGAAAATTCGACGGGGCAGCTGATGGTGACTGGGAGAACTGTCTGAGGTCCCAAGGTGCCTACTTGGAAGGCGACTGAGGTGTCATTGTCCTATGTACAGTGCTTCTTGTATCTTGTACTTCCTCAATAAATGTCTCTATTTTTCCAGATAGTGAAGGCTGGATGCCTTCTGGACAAACGTCGTACATAACATTCCATTTAACAGCAGTATTCTGCACATTCTTTTGTAAGCACACATAGAAAATTCTTCAGGATAAATCATATGTTGAGCCACAAAACAAATCTTAACAAACTTAAGAAGACTAAAATCTTACCAAATATCTTTTCTGACCACAGTGGTATGAATTTAGAAGTCAGTAACTGGGGAAAGATAGGAAAATTCACAAATATGTGGAAGTTAAACATCACACTCCTGAAAAACCAATGAGTCAAAGAAGAAATGAAATTGGGATAAAAAAATTGTCATGAGAAAAAGTGGTAATACAACATACTAAAACTTAAGGGATGCAATAAAAGCTGTTCTAAGAGGGAAGTTTATAGTAATAAAATCCTATTTAAGAAGAAGTAATATCACAAATTAATAATCTAACTTTATGTCTCAAGGAACTAGAAAAAGAACAAACTAAGGCCAAAGTTAGCAGAAGGAAGGGAAAAAGCCTCATATTGCAAATAAAAGAAATAGAGTTCAGGAAAACAATAGAAAACATCAAAGAAATTAGGTTTTTTAAAAAGAGATTAAAAAAAGAGACATACAACCAACCTTTATTTACATTAAGAAAAAAGAGAGAAGACTCATAAGTAAAATTATAAATGAAAGAGGAGACATTACAACTGATATTACAGAAATATAATTAGCCCTGGCTGGTGTGGCTTAGTGGATTGAGTGCTGACCTGTGAACCAAAGTCACAGGTTCGATTCCCAGTCAGGGCACATGCCTGGGTTGCGGGGCCAGATCCCCAGTCGGGGGCACTTGAGAGGCAACCACACATTGATGTTTCTCTCCCTCTCTTTCCTCTCCCTTCCTATCTGTGTAGAAATAAGTAAATAAAATCTTTTTTTAAAAAAGAGACACACCTGCCAACAATTACATACCAACAAATTGGATAATTCAGAAGAAATGGATAAATTCCTAGAAACATACAACCTACCAAGACTGAATCATGAAGAAACAGACAATCTGAACAGACCAATAACAAGTAAGGATATTAAATCAGAAATAAAAAACTTCCCAACAAGAAAAACCTCACAACCTGATGTCTTTCTCAACTTAAGAAATCTACCAAACATTTAATGAATAACTAATACCAATCCTTCTCAAACTCTTCTAGAAAAAATTTAAGAGGAGGGAAGCAGCCCAAACTCATTTCCTGAGGTCAGCATTACCTTGATACCAAAGCCAGACAAGTAAAAGAAAAGTAAACTGTAAGCCAATATCTCTAAAGAACACAGATGAAAAAGTCCTCAACATAATGCTAGAAACTGAATTGGTCAATAGATTAGAATGATTTTATACCATGATCAACTGGGATTTATTCCTCGGATAGATACAAGGATGGTTCAACATAAAACAATAAATGTGACACCACAATGATAGAATGACAGTTAAAAATCATATAATCACTCAAGTAGATACAGGAAAAACATTTGATGATAACAATTCTCCACATAAGATATATAAGAAATTGTACTTCAATATAATAAAGGCCATATAAGATAAACCCACACGTTTCTTAGCAGAAATGAAAACATTTCCTCTAAGATCAGGAACAAGGATGTCTATTATATCTAACTCCTCTTTAACACAGTATTTGAATATGCTTAACCAAAGAAATTAGACAAGAAAAAGAAATAAAAAGCATTCAAATCATAATGGAATAAGTAAAATTGTCTCTGTTTGCAGATGATATAATCTTATATATAGAAAACTCTACAGACTCCACTAAAAGATCGTTAGAATTAATAAGTGAATTCAGTAAAGTGCAGGATGCAAAATAACATACAAAATTTGGTTGCTTTTCTATATACTAACAATGAAATTTACAAAATGAAATTAAGAAAACCATCCCATTTACAATAGCATGCAAAAATACTTAGGAATTAATTTAACCAAGGAGTTGAAGACCAGTGTACTGAATATTATAAGACATTGATGAAAGAAATTGAAAAAGACACAAATAAAGAGAAAGATAGTCTGTGTTCATATATTGGAAGAATGAATATTGTTAAAATGTCCATACTGCTTAGGGCTATCTACAGATTCATTGCAGTCCCTATAAAAATTCCAATGTCTTTTTTCTTAGACATAGAAAAAATAATTCTAAAATTAATGTGGTACCACAAAAGACCCCAAATAACCAAAGCAATCTTGAGAAAGAAGAACAGAATTAGAGGCATCACACTTTCTGATATAAAAATATAGGACAAAGATATAGTAATCAAAAAGTATCATACTGGCATGGAAGAGCACCTAGTGGGATAAATAGTGATGGGGAAAAAAACCCCCAAAATGGCCAGGAAAAAAAATAGACATTTAGACCAGTGAAACAGAATAATGAACCCAGAAATAAATCCACATATATATGGTTAATTGATCTTCAAAAAAGTTTATGCAATGGGAAAAGTATAGTCTCCTCAATAAATGGTATTGAGAAAACTGGATATCCACATGGAAAAGAAAGAAATTGGACCATTATCTCATACCATATACAAAAATCAACTCAATGTATTAAAGACTTAAATGTAAGACCTATAACAATAAAACTACTAGAAGAAAACATAGGGGGAAGCTCCTTGAAATTGGTCTGGGTAATTATTTTTTCTTTTGTGTATCACATCAAAAGCAAAGGCAACAAAAGGAAAATAGACAAATGTGATTGCTTCAAACTAAACAGCTTCTGCATAGCAAAGGAAACAACAGAATGAAGAGACAACCTACAGGACAGAAGATATTTGTATACCATATTATCTGATAGGGGCTGGATATCCAAAGTATATAAGGAGCTCATACAATTCAATAATAAAAAAGAAATAACTCAAATTTTAAGAGATTGAATGTTCTGAATAGGTATTTCTCAAAAGTAGACATGCAAGTAGCCAACAGGTGTATGGAAAAAGCTCAACCTCACTAATCATCAAGGAAGTTCCAGTCAAATCCACAATGAGATATCACCTCACACTTGTTAGAGTGGCTATTACCAAAAAGACAAAATGTAAGTGTTGATGAGAATATGAAGAAATGTAAACCCTTATCCACTGTTGGTGGGAATGTAAATTAGTACAGCCATTGTAGACATAGTATGGAGCTTTCTCAAAAAATTAAAAATAAAAGTACCATATGTCCCAGCAATTCCACTTGGGTATATATCCAAAGGAAATGAAATCA